TGGTTGTCAAATAAGAACAATCGTCGCCTACCTCGCATAACTGGTTCCAAACGTAAACAATCCATAAGAAACCTACAGCGTTTGTTTACGTTTGGAACCAGTTTCATACAAGATGATCAGTAGGCTGACAGCACGTCCCCCCCCCCCCCCCAGGTTATACCGTGACAGCGGGCCAAGCACAGCAAAATAAACGATTTGAGCCCAGGAAATACTGCCTACTGTCAAACGCTGCTGTTGGTATAGGCCTTGTCATTGGCCTACGAAAACCAGTCGATCGACAGCACAGGGATTTTCGAACATAGAAAATAACTTTCGAAATTTCACTTTTAAGCGCTGTCCAGACTGAGCAGTGATAACATGTTGTAATGGTTGTCAAATAATTGAAACACAGAAACCACCATCAAGATAACTCTGTAGTCTGAACGTACTATTAACCACGGGTTAAATTTAACTCGGCAAATGGTTCACAGTCTTATGAGCTAGCCTGGTATATGTAAGCCGTGTTAGTTGACGAACTCTGCGCCCCTGTCTCTTTCACTTTTACGATGCCTTCTTCTTGTTCTTCTTCCTCGCATTTCAAGCTTATTGCTTATCGCATATTAGCTTATTGCGTGCTCTCAGCTTAGTGTTCTAGATGCACTTCCACAGTTCTAGATAAACATGTCAAACGGTTCTATCTGCATTGCTCGATTATCTTTATCGACTTTCTCTTTCGTTAATAGCTCAGCTGCAAAACCTATCGCTGTTGTATTTGACGTTTTGGACGCTAGATAAGAACCTCCTTCATCAAACAATGTGGTAAAATTAGCGCCAAATCTGTTCGCATAGCAGTGGTTATCAAAAGAGAAAGTCGATGAAGAGAATCGATCAAAGCAGATAGGACCATTTCGACAGTGAGCATGCATAAGGGCCTATACGCGATGATCGATTCTCTTCATCGATTTTCTCTTTGCATTGCTACAGCTAAGCGACACAATTTTGTAGAATTTATTCAATGTAGAGTTGTAACTGGTTGCATTGTCTATCAAAAGCAACAGCAAACGCACCGACAAACGTTAAATCTAGCGAGTTATTAACAAAAGAGAAAATCGATTAAGAGAATCGATCATCGCGTATACGCCCTTATGAATGCTCACTGTCGATTTGAAATGTTCATCGAGAGTTATTAATTGAGAGCTTTGTTGTAAGGCGCAAATTAGAGAAAACCCAACTGGTTGATGGAGTAATGAACAACGACTAAAGATAATTTATTTCTGCTGATTATAATGCTTGCTATGATTGAATGGATACTTATTCTAGGTTGCTTCGTTGTATGCTGTTTGAATCTGTACTCAACACTCCTCCTCAACGAAGTCAACGATTGCCTTCCAGATTTCTTTGGACGCCAATCGCATTGCAATGTCTTTCCAGCTTCACCCGGTCCAATGACTTATAGCGAATTCGTTTATTATTCAGTTCCAACCTGGATCGGGTATCAAGATTGGGTCTGCTTGTTTTCTGACAAACGTCAGTTTGTTCGTTTGTTTTTAAAACCTAGCTTAGGTTGAGGTTCGCACTGACAAAAAGTTCGGTTTCGCACTTCATCAGATCGGCAAGCCGTTGGTAGATACCGCAAATCGATAATCCCTTGTAGACGTAGATCTCTGGTAAACGCATCCTTCGTGTCAATGTGTTTCGATCTCCTTTCCATGAGATCGGACTCGACCATCTTGATGCAGGATTGGTTGTCCTCCCACACAACGATTGGATATGCTGGTTCCTCGTTGAGCCAAGACCACAAACTCGGCTTCTGTTGAAGAAATTGCAACGCAAGACTGCTTGTTGGTGTCCCAACTTACCAGCCCTCCACCGAATTTGATCAGGAAACCAGAGTTGGATTTTCGGTCTCCTTCATCTCCAGCCCAGTCTGCGTCGACAAAACATTTCAAGTCTTCATTTCCGGATCCCTGATGTAGGGAAAAGTCCTTGGTTGTCTTGAGATATCTCAGCACCCGGTTCGCCTCCGTCCAGTCGCGGTTTGTTGGTTTGGAAACCTTTCTTCTCAGCAATGAAGTGGCAAGGCAGATGTCTGGCCGCTTATTGACGCCAACGTACAGCATCATAACGTGTTTAATGTCGCTTTCGTGCAGCTCCGAGAAAAAATCACGGCTCGCGAAGGTATGACTGCTCGCGCCCGAGTCCACAATCCAAGGCTTCATCTCCATTTTCAACCTCGTCTCTTCCGGCCAGAAACGCGAACGATACGAAATTTCCATCGTTTTTCGGTGAAGGCTTTCCCTGCTCTCCTGGCTTCGTTTCCTTCTCGTTGTCCCGGATGAATTGTCGACACTCCCTCTGCATGTGGCCTGCCTTTTTGCAATAGTGGGAGACCAGCGTTTTCTTCTTCCTGTTGCCCTGTCCAACCTTTATCGCCGAATCCGTCCCGGAGCCTTGCCGTTTCATCCAGGAGTTTCCACTTGACAAGTTCCAGGTTCAGGTTCTCCAAAGCGGTAGTCAGGGTGTCGAACGTGCTTGGCAGGCTTCTCAGGATCATGGCGACCATGAGATTTTCCTCCAATTGCTGTCCGGCATTCGCAAGGCTACTGAACAGTTCCTCCATAGCGAAAAAGTGTTCGGCCATGTCCTCTCCTTCCGTATAACGCTTGTCGCAGATTCGCTTCAGCAACGAAACCTTTGACGCGAGACTCCTCCGACACGCCTCCGGGTTTTCACCACGTAACGCCACAGGTGTTCCCGAACCAAGAGAAGTTCCAACTTGAAGCGCCAGTTTGAATAGTTGGAATTGTTCAGGTTTTGCAGATTGAATCGGCTTCCGTCCATTCCTCAAGAAGTTTCGTCTTGTGCAAAATTATTCGCGCAGGCCCATAACCTGTTGTAAGGCGCAAATAAGAGAAAACCCAACTGGTTTGATGGAGTAATGAACAACGACTGAAGATAATTTATTTCTGCTGATTATAATGCTTGCTATTTAGCGGTGCCGGTGGTGTAGTGGTAAGCGTGATTACCTCTCACTCCAGCAGGCCTGGGTTCAATCCCAGTCGGCGCCGCCGGGATGTTCTGAGGCATAACATCTCTGATCACGCCTTCCTTCGGAAGGGAAGTAAAGCCGTTGGTCCCCGGTTCATGAGTTGATGGGTCAATAGGTAAGGTCCAGGCGTCGGAGCTGCCTCCCTGGCGTCGGTAGCATTGGTGCTCAGCACGGAAAACAAGATCGACGGAAAACAAACCAAAGAAAAAAAAAAAATAATGCTTGCTATGATTGAATGGTTACTTATTCTGGGTTGCTTCGTTGTATGCAGTTTGAATCTGCACTCAACAAGCTTTCGATGCCTGTACCATTTTTGCATTAGTTTAATTGTGTGGCAAGCAGTGCTGCAAAATCTCGACAATACACGGTGATATTGACAATTCTGCTTTGGTCACTCATTTGAGCTAACAGTCATAGTCAAGGCAAACCATGTCAATTGTCAATGACAATGCTGTCAGTGACGAACATGTGTAGATTTTTATATTAACTAAATTTGTAACGAAATTTACTGACTTGAGCAACACAATTACATGAAGCCGTTAATGTGAAGCATCTACCTCATGAACAACTTGGATAACAATAATGTGACACAGAATGTACGAAATTACACTTTTTGTTACTAGGTGAATCTTTGTCATTGACGAAAAAATGAATGAGATTTTGACGAAGGTTTTTTTGAGGATCAAGTCTGTCAGTGACTATGTGACGAACAATTTTGTCAATATCGTGCGAAAGTCTGTCAATGACAATGACAAATCTCAGCACTGGTGGCAATTACAATCATACATCTATGCCCAGGAAAGTCGAGAAACTTTCCAACCCGAAAAATTTCAAGACCGGCCCGGGATTCGAACCCTGCCACCTTCAGCATGGTCTTGCTTTGTAGCTAAGGGAGATGCCATGACGGTAGCGTAAAAGAGAAAGAAATATCGCAACAAATTCTTCAGTTTTTTAATTTAAGTTTAGAGGACTTCTTTGAAGTTCAGTCAACATTGTAGAAGCTCAGCGAACTTCGTAGAATTTCACGGAATTTCGCAGAAACTAAGGGGCAGTATCGTAAAAGTTCAGTAAACTTCTTAGAACTTCAGAATTTGATTCGGAAACTTACTGGAAGTTTTTGGAACTTTGTTTTGCTCAGATGTTTAGGAACATTCGTAGAAAAAGTTCAGGGTCTTCCCTGAAGTTTGAGGAAGGCCATGAATATTGTGAGATCTGGTTGTAACTTGTAAAACAAATATGAAACTTTGAAGTAATTTATGAAGCTTCGTAGAAATTGAGAAAATTTTCTAGAACTAGAGATTAGGGAACATTATAGATGCTCATGGAACATTGTATGAGTTATTGAGGTTTAACAAACTTGAAACCAGTGAAATTCAGTTGTAGTAGCTACGGAAAAATCTTACATATGCAGGGATATTCGTTGAAGTTGACAGAATGTCTCAGGAGTTCGCGGAACTTCCCACAAGAACAGGGAATTTCATAGAGGATCAATGAACTTCGGATAAGATCAATAAATTGGAAAGTAGTTCAGGGAGCTAGATTAACACTAAGACTAGCGGGTCCCCGAGAAACATGCTCAATCCTTTGGATCAGGAAGTACCAGATCCCTTTGGTCGCAAGCTAATTGAACCATCATAAATTAGAACGTAGGTAAATCCACGAACCCATCATAAAAGTTGTCAAATTTTGTAAGGCGAATCAAAACAAACACAAACTTTGACAAATTCTAGTACGAGAATGGGGTACGCTTATAGATGTATTTCTGACCAATGGGCTAGTCAAGTAATTAGCTAATGTAATTTAAAATGCATAACTTATGAACCAAGCATCGCCGGAATAACATTGTGTAGTGAATTGATAAGGACTAAGTAATCAATAAAAAAATATAATGCTAAAAATGCGCTTTGTAATAAACAACGGTTGAGTTTGTAAACTGGAAACGTATTAATCCCCATTTATGTTCTGTTTGCAGGAGAACGATGAAATCTACTACACAGCAATCAAGGACATCGAACTGGGTGACATCCTGCGGGTTTGGTACTCGCGCAGCTATGCAGCCAAAATCGGCGCTGCCCTGTTGGAACCCAGCCCGTACGACATCTGCAACAACATCCTGCGATCGGTCAGCCTAGACTACGGTCTGAATCTGGACCAGAATCAGAACTATGTTGACAGCTTCCCGTCTACGTCCACCGCGGGACCAATTTCCCAGTCTGCCATGATGACCGGCGGCGGCGTTGGCAGTGGCAATGATGTGAACAACAACAACAACCCCACAACGACAATCTCGACTTCCGGGGAGATGGTTTCGAGCTATGATAAAATTTCGTTACCACCGATCGATAGTCTCATGAAAACCAGCTCACCCAAGTACCAGTCCAGTCACTATCACATGTTTGATCTCGACTTGATAGCCTCGGGCCACGTGTCCATGCAGCAACAGAGCTGCGACGACTACGGTCACTTCAACCCACCTTCTGCGGCAGCTATCGCGCAGCCAATGATCCATCACTCTAGTCAGCATCATGTTGCTCCGGAAATGCAACAGCAACATCATCATCATCAGCATCAACAACTACCTATGCAACAGCCACAACAACAACAACAGCAACAGCAACAGCAGATGGTTCATTCAACATATGCCAACTATCAGACGCTTCCGGAGGACACCCTGAGTCCTGCGGATTTGATCAGCATTTCGCTGGGGGCAAGTGACATGAACATTACGTTCGACTCGTTTGGGACGAATAACCTGCTGGGCTACGATGGGGGTAGCAGCAGTGGCAGCAATCTAGGCGACTCCGGGATCAGCAGTGTGGGATTCGGTGGGTTCCAAGGGGGCATGGAAAGCAAGCTGCACAGTCGATATTCATCGTCCACGGATTCGTTGGCCACGCTGAATGATTCGCTGGGAATGGTTCCACCGGCGACACCCAATCTGACATCGTCGACGGCGCCGTCGAGTGGAACCGATCCGGATGCGGACAAGAAGTACCCGTGCGAGATTTGCTTGCGGAAGTACATGACCAAATCGAACCTGGACAAGCACATGCGGAAGCACAATCTGTTTCTGTGCGTGTTCTGTATGAAGGTGAGACAATAAGAGTTCGATTTAGGGGACAATTGGAGGATTAAATTTTGTATTTCTTTATAGCTCTTCCAGTTGGCGGAGGAACTGAAGGATCACGAGTGCACCGAGCGGAAATCCAAGACGGCCTACCTGCATTGTCCGAAGTGTTTGAAGGTGTTGTCCAATTCGTGGTCGCTCCAGCGTCACATGAAGATTCACAAGGACCCAAACGAGAGCGTTCTGATGGGCAGTATGGAAGAATCCACCACCGACAAGCTGCTCATGGAACCGAAGGAGGAAACGGCTTTTGACGAGATTGAACCTACCCCTTTGGATGAGCTGAAACCGAGCATTGATCCACTGGAGGGTAGCAGCGGTGACGGCATGATGATGGGGGACGAAACTTGTGATGTCATGAATGAACCGGATCCGATTCGGGTTCAGGAAATGGAAATAGAACCAGAGTACGAGGCAATCCAGCAGCCTATGGTGGTTGCCGCGGCCAGCACGTCAACGATTCCGATTAACAACACCACTTCCAGTCAGGACATGATCACCGATGTGCAAGCCCCCAATGGCAAACAGCTGTACAAGTGCATCGTGTGTGCTAAGCTATTCAAAAATCCCAACGCATTGGAGAAGCATTTGAGAAAGGTCCACACGGTCTACACCGTATCGAATGACTACAAATCGGAGAAGAAAGTTATGACGCAAATCAATCAGAAGAAAACTTCCCCGATAAAGCCATCTATTGCCAAGGCATTGGCGACAAAGTTGACCCAAAAGAGTAAGAAAATGGAAGCGGCTGCAGCCAGCGCCGAGTCTGCAGTCAGTCCCAGTGTCACAGTCACTCCGGAGCAACCGGTTCACGTTCCACGGCAATACAACAAGAAGAAACATCTGAATAAAGTAGCCACATCTTCAAATGCCGGCGGCATGCAGGTGTCTCCGCTGTCGGTCGCACCGACGATTGTCACCAGCAGCTCGGGGCCAACCGCTAGCAGCACTCCGAACAAGTCCCACAGCATCATCATCATATCCAACCTCGAGTTGACCAACAACAACCTGATCGATACTAGTCAACTGTTTCTAAACCAAAACACCAACGCTCTAGGCAATAAGATAGATCTTAAAGTATTAAACTCAACCGACAAGTTACCAAAGCTTGTGCCAATCTCGAATCATCACCAGCCGGCATCGATTCTTCCACCAGCGACACCCCAGTCGGTCCCAACCACTCAGTTCCAGGGTGCAACATCCATCCCTACGCTTCATCCAACCTCCGCTCTTGATGGGCTGAACGCCATCATCGAGAGCAGCGGAATTGTTGAAGAGTCCAACCAGATGATGACCGAATCTTCTTCGCTGAGTGGCACCGGTGAAACGCAACTCCTGACACTGTCTCCAATCAAAAACAGCAACAGCAGCGAATCACAGCAAATGATCTCCGTAGCGGACCGAACGCCTGACTCGATCAACAACGGTTTCCTCAGCCCGGAAGAACTCTCCGTAAGTACCGGAGGCATCTACTCCCTTCTCAACAGTGTGAACGCTAACCGTTTCCGCTTGCCACAAACCCTCCAATGCGCACTATTCTCATTTCAACTCAGCTGTTAAACCTTATTTTCTTTCATGCTTAAAACGTGCGGCCTTGCTGAACATACGACATTGGCTGGCCTTACTTGCACACCTGTGTACATACTTCCTAAATAATTGCCGGTGCTGTTGCTGTTTTTGCTGCTAAAATTTGCTTTCCATAGACGGATGCTAACGACAACAGCAGTAGTAACCAATGCTGCGACGGCGATAGCGATAACAGTGCCCAACTAACCCAGTCCAGCTACCCGTGTGAGGAGTGCGATAGGGTCTTTCCCAAGGTAATTATTTGTTTTTTTATTTACTTGTTCTTGTTTTCCGGTTTGGAATTATTGAGTGTTTCGTGTTATTTAGTGTTGGCTGTTTGATGAAGGTTCTATGTATATTTAATCTTTGATCGTTCCAGTAACCCATCAAAACTTAACTGTTCCAACTTTGCTTATTTTCCTCTTTATATGGCACATTTATGGGCAGCATTATCAACAATACAGGATTCCCAAATGTGCTTTTAGCATGAAATATCTGAATCTGAAAAAGCTTCCGCTTAAATTCTGAAGCTTGTACCATAATGACTCGATTAGATTTCATAAAAGCTTATCGAAAAGTTGTACGATTTGATCATTCTTCTTGGTAACGAGTAATAGATGCATACACATAGTGAGGGAAGCCCTTGGCAAACCATGGAAATGACGCTCATTTCCCAAATGATTAAATTAAGCGCCAATTTCAATATATTTCCTATGTCTGAATTACCATAATAGTTTCGTTTGAACTATCCACAGGTTTTCTTTGGATATTTTCCAAGAATTCCCTTTAAATCGATCATTTTTTTCAGGGTCCTTGTAAAATTTCCGAGGATAGTCTTGAGATTATCTCCACCAGCTATAAATTAATTCTCTCAAGAATTCGCCTAAATTTTTCTCCACAATTCTCTTTTATATTCCCTTGAAATATTCCCTCCGAAGTCCCTTTAGAGTAATCATAACAATTTGCTCAGAATTGTCAACTTTTCTGAATATTCCACAGGACCTCTACACAGCATACCCTAAGTATGTTTCCAAAATTCGCTGAAATTATCCACAGAATTTCCTTGCAATGCTTTCAGAAGTTATTTGATATTCTCCTTAGAATTCCCTTCGCTAATCTTCCTCGTAATTCCCTTGAAACTTTTCTCAGAATTTAGCTTCGTTCTCGGAATTACCCCTCATATTCAGATTACCCTTGAATTGTTATCATAATTCACTTAATTATTTTCAGAGCTCCTATTGAATTATCCTCTAGGTTCTGTTAGAATTTTCCTCAATATTTAATTGGAATTCTTCACAAAATTTAATTGGAGTTCAATAAACAAGTTTTAAGTCAGAACTACCTTAGAATTCTACTCATAACTAACTCCGCTCATTTTGCCAGACGACATTAGTATTGGAATGGCCATAGATCGTGGGAATAAAACACTACTTGTGTACAAGCACGATGTACAAAAACTATAAGAGAGTGAATGTTCTTTATTACCGAGCTTATATTGAGGTTACTATGATAACATGGAACAAATTCAAAATTATCGTGGCATGCTGCGTTTACTCGTCGTCATCTCCCACAGTTAGGTGGTTGCTTTTGACATTTGAACAATGTACGAGCTTCGTTTCCATAATTTCGTGTCTATATTCTAAATATTCGTGAAAATCACAATAAATGTTTTAGATATTCATACAGCATATATAGGACACATTTTCAATTATAGTGTTATCATTGGATTTTCTTATAGCGCAAATTCGACTTCCATGTAACGGGAACATATCATATTGGTTCAGTGTGCATCTTTCTTATGCCGTTATGCCTTGTTGGACTAATGAGCTATAACATGTTACAAGGATGTTATAACACTTATCAACAAGAAAATCGTCATCAAGATAGATAGATAGATAGTTATAACTCCGTAGTCTGAACATAGCATTAAGTAAGCGTCCAACTAACAATCTTTACCCATCCCCAGCAGTTGCAAGGACGTGGCTCGATTGTTAGAGATAGTGCTACTTCCATATAAGAGGCCATGATAAATCCAAAATCTCGGTCAATATGGTAACGAACGGAGGTGGAAATACTCTCAAACAATGCACGGCCAATGCCTATCTCACTCAGAGCGAGAGAGAGAGAGAGAGAGAGAGAGTAACTTCTACTCAGATGAATAAAGATAGATTTATAAAAATGTAGGTTACTCAGCGTTGAGTGACCTAAGATTTTAGAAATTTCTCTTTAATCTTAGTAGAAGTTACTCTCTCTCTCTTTCTGAGTACGATTGAACAGCCGTGTGGTCTAGAACTTGTACCACATACGAATTTGTGCAACTTGCTTAAAAAATTGCTATAACATGTTATAGCGCTATCTTGATGGTGGTCTCTGTGTTGCAATTATTTGACAACCGTTATAACATAACTCTCCAGTCTGAACAAGGCATAAGGTAACGAAAAAGGGGGTGTTTTTAAGCGTATATTTCGCCAAAGCATTAATGTGTGTTAGTAGCAGTAGGCGTTCAGATCAAAGTAATAATCAAAGCAATCTTGCAATAAACTAGCAAATAAAAACTTCACTTCTATTTCAACCACTGTTCAGTCATTCTCTGCTTGAACGTCAAGCAGTACAGTTCGGTCTTTGCTCGCTCTGTCGAGTTGTTCGAAAGTTCCTAGTTTGTTCCAAACATTCGCAGTTTAATCGCGTAGTGTCGGTCGCTTCGTGTGATGAGAAGACAGCGCTCCCGGAGCAGGCTCCGTAAGAAAGCGGAAAAGAAGAACAGTGATGAGGGTAGCTTGAGTGTACCTATTTCGAATAGGTACGCTACTCTTCCCACCGATGTTGGGAATACCAACCCAGTTCCGGTGAAGCGGACGAAAAAGAGGAAAAAGAATCAAGGACAGTCCGATGGTACAAGCGGACGCGACGATGTTACCGCGACGAACGCCAGCGACATTGGTGACTTCGGCGACGCCATCGAAACCGAGAATTCTGCCGGCCCGAGTGCGGCGAAAGTCAAGCTTCCTCCACTGGTGGTGAAGGTAGTGCCTCTCAAGACGCTCATTGGCGATTTCGCATCGCTGGGCATCGCAGTTGAGTTCAAGATCAGCAGGATCGGCACTAAGGTGATGCTCCGGACGAAAGCGGAATACGAAATCGCCGTAAAATTTCTGAAGGATTCCAATGCGGAATACTTCACGCACGACATCCCCGGTGAGAAGCCCTTCAAGGTAGTCATCAGGGGTCTACCGAATGTTGATCCCAAGGCGATCGAAGAAGAACTCAAGGACCGGTACAAGCTGGCCATGGGCTGTACTCCGTAGCGGGCAACCCATCGCCGCTACTCTAGCGGGCAACCCATCGCCGCTAGACCTGTTCCTGTCAAATACCAGCTTGTCCAAGCCGGTAGCCTTGAACGAACTCAGCTCCGACCACCAACCGGTGGTGGCTGAAATGGGCTACAACGTGGCCCCTGCTCCAAGTCTGCACAAGGACTACCACCGCGTAAACTGGGCCCAGTTTGGACGCGTGGTAGACAGACACATCATCGACAATCCGCCGCTTAACACCGTGGAGGACATTAACCGAGCGTTGGAAAAACTCCACCAAGCCATAACCGTAGCTGACGAGGCGTGCGTCCGACGAGTTCCTGTGAGGGGTAAGTTTATTGCCATTGATTCCCACACCCAATTTTTGATTCGCCTGAGAAATCTTCGTAGACGCCAGTTTCAGAGGAGTGGAGATCTGGGCAAAAAACGTGAAATGGCCGATCTGAACAGGCAGATTGCTTCCAGAACGGACTCACTCCGAAATGAAAGTTTGAGGCGTGTTGTCCAGAATCTGGACGACCGCTCCAGACCATTCTGGAAGGTAGCCAAGGTCCTGAAAAATCATCCCAAACCCGTTCCGCCTCTCAAAGTCGAAAATGATGACGATCGGCTTTTTATCACCCCACAGGAGAAAGCAAATGCGATCGGCAAGCATGTCGCTTCATCGCATTTGCTTGGCTCGACTATCCAAAGTCCGCTCGAAAACCAGGTTGCGCAATGCGTTCAAAACCTAGATGCCTCCCCTTGTGTCGTGCCTCCGGCGGATATGATTACAGTACAACAAATTTGCTCAGCGCTGAAATGCACCAAGAACATGAAGGCTCCCGGATTTGACGGTTATTCAATTTGATCTTGAAGAGACTCAGCATGAAAGTGCAGTCTCTTCTAACCGCTATCTTCAACAGATGTTTAGAACTGCACTACTTTCCAAGCATCTGGAAAATAGCAAAAATCATACCAATCCGCAAACCCGGTAAGGATCCAACATTGTCTTCAAGCTACAGACCAATCAGCCTCCTTTCAGCGCTGAGCAAATTGTTCGAGAAACTCATTCTCAATCGTTTGCTCAAGTTTGTCGAGGAAAATAACATTCTCCTTCCGGAACAGTTTGGGTTCAGAAAGGGGCACTCCACCAATCACCAGCTAGTGCGGGTGATGAATAACATCCGAAGTAACAAAGCTGTATCCAAGTCCACAGCCATGGCCTTGTTAGACGTTGAGAAAGCGTTTGATAATGTCTGGCACAATGGGCTTGTATACAAGCTCTGTAACTTCAACTTACCATTACATCTGGTTAAAATCACCCGTAGCTACCTCCAGCAAAGGTCGTTTAAGGTATCGTTGAATGGTTGTCTTTCAGACACGTTTTCCATCCCAGCAGGAGTCCCGCAAGGCAGTCTGCTGGGCCCCTTGCTTTACTTGATCGTCCTTTCGACACTAGAATAACAAATTTACACGAAGAGGCAGGCATTGCCATAATAGATTTCAGAATTAACGAAATTAACAATAAATTTGCACAAAAATGTATTTTATCAGAACATGCTTTGATAAGCAATTTGTATATAGTAGATTAGGTGTATATAGTAGTTGTAAATAGTTATAAGTAGTTTTCTTTTTCAATTTAAAACAAACCAATCCCACCAAGGTGGTCATTCTCTTAACGACATCAAGTTCATTCCTACGATGTCCAACAATCTGCTGTCGGTGAGCCAAATCGTTCGCCGTGGTCCACGATTCAAAGAATGGGTTATTCCGATTCGAGGAATGCGACAAACAGAAGGCGTTGTCACTTGCATCTATGCCGACAAATTTGAACGTCTGGCACAGAAGGATGGGCCATCTCAAGCCTCTGGGGTGCAGTTCAAGGAATCATTGATAGGCAACTGTACGTGCCATGGGTAAGCAAACTCGTTTATCATTTCCAAAGAGCGGACATCGAGCCA